TGCTAACTAACCACAATAAAATAAAAATATATAAATTTTGTAACAAAGCTACAATGTTGGAATTTGTTTGCATTGTTCTTTTTGAAGGATCTGAAATTTATTTCCCAACGTTCATGAAAAGTTTAACAATATGCATAGTGGTATATGGATATGTACTGGTACCAGTACACTGAAAATTACTACTAGTAATAATTACACCAAAAATGCTATGCAAGGTATGAAAACTATAAGAATGGTTTTAATGTAAAATGTTTTAATTAATTAATAACCTTATGCAAAAAAAATAAAACTACAATAATAATAAACATGCAACTGAAATAATTATCACACACTAAAATATGCTATCTTTATACTCTTTATATAAATGATATTCATGAGGTGCATTGCCTGGTAAAGCTACTTTAGTTAAGATCACTGTTGGAAGTTGCTTTAAGAGATTTATGCTTTTGAAGGAAACAGCTCTATTACTGTTGTCTTGTTGTTTATAAATACTATTTTTATATAAATCTACATTTTTACTTAGAAATGACAAAAAGTTACAGCTGATGTTACAAAAACTCTAATATCAAAAGTAAATTTTCAAGGAGGTTTATTGTGTAGTGACAAGCTGAGTCAAGTTTTCATTAGTGAGAGCACGTTTTCTGGAAAGGGTTGGTTGGCGAGTCAAGACATCGAGGTTGGCGAGTCATCCTGGACAAGTTGAGACAGGTATACAAACCGAGACAGACCCAATAAAAAGCTCAGCTCAGCTCAGAATTGATCAGCCAATGGATCTAAAAATTAGATATAAAACAACGTGACCATTGAAACAGAGAGAAACAAGCCTGGACTAAGATTGTATTGTTAGAAGCATGTAAGAAATATTGCTGTGTATTATATTGTAAATAGTGATCAAATAAATAGACTTGGTCTGAGTTCAAGGAGTCATAAGGTGTTCTTTTTGACAGACCAGAAACCAGATGGCATGATTTGAACTTTACTTAAATGATTACATATTTCTCAACATAAAAAATTTTACAAATATTTTGCTATATTTGCTATATTTTTCTTGAATTTTGGCCTCAATGCTTCTGCAAACTTTGCTGCATTAACTCTATAATGGCTAATTTGGTATAACTAACTTAAAACAGCTATATACAGTCACATGATATTACTTTTATACTGTAAATTAATCTATATACACATATTTAATTAATTTTAAATATAAAACAGCCTAAAAATCAGTTAACTCAGATATACCTTAACAACAGTTGAAATTGGTTTGGAAGAGCTGCACATTATTATTTGTGATTCAGTTACTTCATTAAAACTAACAATCACTAATAACAAAATGAAGCTGTTCTAAACCAGTTTTAATCATTGTTAAAATAATCTTAAAATATACGTATCTTGATTAAATGTCAGTGGACTTTTGGGTGAATATATACAGGTGTCAATAATTAAAAAATACTACTTTAGATCACTCAAGAGACAAAACAGTTAGAAATTTTGTAAGCACATTTATCTCAATTTGGGAAAACTATGAACAGAATTTCAAAAATAATTACAATTTTTGCCATTAGCATCTAAAATTGCCACTATCACAGCAGCATAAAAAAACTGACATGTTTTCCACCACTCTCAGTCACATACTGCAATTGAGTTATCACATTAACAACAATCAAATGCAACATATTAATGACTCACAAAAACCTTTGAATATCCAGTAAAATTATTTAATTGAAATAATAAATGTTTTCGACCTTAATATTCGGTCTTCATCAGGTTTTACAAATGCTGAGATTCTAAGAACAGTTCTGTGCAACAATTTAAAAACATTAGAACGTTGCGCATGTGCATTGCCATGGATGTATATGTGATGCTAACATATGCAGCACAACGTTCTAATGTTTTTAAATTGTTGCCCAGAACTGTTCTTAGAATCTCAGCATTTGTAAAATCTGACGAAGACTGAATATTAAGGTCGAAAACGTTTATTATTTCAATTAAATAATTTTACTGGATATTCAAAGGTTTTTGTGAGTCATTGATATATTTTCCAGTATCTTTACAAGAAGGTATTTAACTTTTTCAAGGTATTTGATGCAACATATCAGAAGTAATGAAACTTATTTTCCTTTCAATTTATCTGTTTAGTTCAGATAAATCTGCAACCCCACAATATAAATCCTGCTTTTAAAATAGCCACATAATCAGAACTTGCAAGGTGTGAGATCAGGTGAATGAGTAGGACATTGCATTGGAAAAGATTGACTGATTTCTCTTTCATCATCAAACATTAGTTTTGCAATGTTAGACAGTGTATTTTCACAATGACTGTAGTGTGAGCAATTGCACCCTCTTCAGTAAGATCGCATTTATGCAAATAAATGTGATGTTACCCAAACACTCTCTCTGCTCTAGTTTAGAGATAACAAAAGTTTAACTGACTGACTGACAAGGAGAGCCTACGGCTTTGGGGTAACGGATTTTGATGATCTTTGGTGTAGAGGTAGTACACCATATGAGTGTACTACCTGTAAAATACTAAAGTGCAATACTCAAATAAAATCGAGAAAACGGACTTAAAGATTTTTGAGCACTTTATATATAAATTATATGTGCTTCCAGTTAAGCGTCCTGTGGCTGAGTGGTAACGATGCTGGTTCGTATGCTTGAGTTTCCGGGTTCGATTCTCGTGTACACTTTTTTTTTTTAAATTCATAAATACTTATAATGTATTTATTTATTTACCCATTCATTTATTTCTTATTATTTATTTATTTTAATTTAATTTCTACTATTCCAAGTCTAATATTTTTATACTTTTGTTGACAATAACAGCGCATTCTTGACACCTATGTGTCAACTTTCCCATCTAATTGTTATCACTAACGGTGACCGATCTAATTCTCACTAGGAGCGTTTTTTCTATCGGAGTTCTTTTTCACTCACTCTTTAACAGTTCGTTTCTAAATTTCGACACGAATAGACGTATTTGTGTAGTAAAACTTATTTTGAAAAATTATTTTATAATCGAAAAATGTCGTCAAGAGAAGCAAGTTCTTCACGTTGTGACGAAAAAACTGTTGATGATACCTTTTAAAAAAGCAGCATTTATTTGTTGTTCTTGGTGTAGACAGAATTTTTGTTTTGAATGTTTTTATCATAAGTATCATTCACGATCATGTACATCTGACAATGATATGTAATTATATAATATTGCTTCAATAAATTATATTCGTTTTTCTTGGTTATATTTGAGTTTTGCACTTTACAAGTTAGTATTTTACATCACTGTATAAAGAGTTATCATCAACAGTTTTTTCGTCACAACGTGAAGAACTTGCTTCTCTTGACGACATTTTTTGATTATAAAATAATTTTTCAAAATAAGTTTTACTACACAAATACGTCTATTCGTGTCGAAATTTAGAAACGAACTGTTAAAGAGTGAGTGAAAAAGAACTCCGATAGAAAAAACGCTCCTAGTGAGAATTAGATCGGTCACCGTTAGTGATAACAATTAGATGGGAAAGTTGACACATAGGTGTCAAGAATGCGCCGTTATTGTCAACAAAAGTATAAAAATATTAGACTTGGAATAGTAGAAATTAAATTAAAATAAATAAATAATAAGAAATAAATGAATGGGTAAATAAATAAATACATTATAAGTATTTATGAATTTAAAAAAAAAAAGTGTACACGAGAATCGAACCCGGAAACTCAAGCATACGAACCAGGATCGTTACCACTCAGCCACAGGACGCTTAACTGGAAGCACGTATAATTTATATATAAAGTGCTCAAAAACTTTAAGTTCGTTTTTCTCGATTTTATTTGAGTATTGCACTTTAGTATTTTACAGGTAGTACACTCATATGGTGTACTACCTCTACACCAAAGATCATCAAAATCCGTTACCCCAAAGCCGTAGGCTCTCCTTGTGAGTTACACGTCACTGATGTTATGTAATGCTGCTGTGACAATGCCATTATAGAGACCTAGTGGTGAATTTTTTGAAACTATTGGAACTATTTTTGAAACTGTCCACACTTTTCCTGTGTCAAACTTGCTTATCAAATTTTATTGATATATCTCTAATGATTTTGTCTCCAGAATGATGTAAAGTGATATACTTTAATTATAAACATCTTGTATTATCAAACAATTTACTGAGATTTATTTAATAAAAAGAACATTACTGAAATAATGTTATATGTTAAAACATGTCTTGATTAATAATTAAAACTGCATTAGTATAATAATGAATTCTGTATATAAAAAATTTAATCTTAAAAAGTATATTAGGTGATGTTCAATTGATGAATTTCTGACAGATTATTTCTTACATTTTATAGTTAAGAGTAAGAATAATTCGGCAAACTTGATACCATATTACATCATAATATTAAATTCCATTCTATCAAATATGAATATTTCCAATTATTCTGAGCAATTCTAAATATTTCATAGATCTAAAACTTAAAGATAATATAAACATGTCATTCCATATAAAATAAAATTGAAAATGAGCTCTCAAAAATTTTAAAAGCAATGCTAACTGAATAATAACTAAAGCTTAATAACATTCTAAAAACCCATAAATATATTAGTAGTAGTATAATATCATTGGAAACATCTTCACTTAATAATGGCATTATATATTTATTTCTTCAAAAATTCTCTCTCTAAATTTAAATACTTGCTTTATTCCTAAACCATCTGACTATCTTGAATTTTAAAATATACTTTTATGACTTTTATAAATTAAAAATACACAGAAAATTTTATTAAAATTATAGTGCATTATCATTAGTGAGTTTTTCATTTAATTCAAAATTATTAAAAATGTTAATAATATATAATACTGAACTTTTTAATAATTATAACAATTATAACATTAATATTAATTTATTATTTCAGAATTTTATCATCTTCATTTTGTTCATTTATATTGCATTTTTATTGAATTTATTAAAATTCATTTTGAGAAGCAGCAATACAGGCAGACTTACTTGGAATTCCGGATACTAATTTCAAAGGTCGTAGAACACGTATGGCACGTAAGGTTCTCAAATCTATTGACATATGGGCGTCCTGAACAAACATTGTTACATACCTGGAAGAATAAAGATGGGCTATGGCTCAACTACTACTACAAGGATTACTACTTTACTACAAGGATCTATTACTAATTGCTAAAGGAAAACAACTAATATCTATCAGACATTTTTGACATTTTTAATTTTATTAATTTTAATTAATGTTTATGTATTAATCATAACAAAGCTTTTATTAGATACAGATTTGAATAAAGAATAAATAAAGAAAATTTCCTTACTTAGAAAATAAATTTAAAAATAAAATTTGCTTTATTGGAGCACAGTTTATAAATTACAATCTTAAGTGTTTTTGGGCTCATAAACTCATTATTCCTTAAAAATAGTCTTTGATTTTAAAAAATGTTTAGGATTATAATTTTTATTATTGTATTCCAGTAGAACTGAACTGATTTTATTTTTAATTTTATTTGAATTTAAATTTTAAAATACACTGCCTTACAGAGAAAACACATCATAATGAAGAAATGCTTGAAATGAGATGAAACTCAACACCACAGATAGAGAGTTCTGTTCAATTTCCGAACAGAACTCTATCTGTGTTCTGAACAATTAATTTAATTTCAAACAATTACACATCTCCTGTGACCCAATATATAGGTTGATTAGAAACTAGTGGGTCTACCATGTTGGGCAATAGTCATTAACACAACATGGCATTAATTCAATGAATACTCAAATACTATCCTGGAATAGTGTTGATTACATGGTATTGACCATAAGCCACAGTTCAACTTCGCTATGATGCTGTGGGAGAACATTCACTTAACATTCTACAAATTCTTGATGGTAGAGAGATATGGGAATCATACTTGGCCAAGGAATTACCTGGACATCTTGCAAAGCATGCCTGCTGATGTTCACTGTGTAAAGTTATGCATTATCCTGCTGGAAAACTGCACTGGGTATGCTCTGAAGATATGAGTTGCTACAGTCTGTTATACAACAACAGACTGTAGCAACTCTTATTGGTCTACAATCAACATGCTCTGATATGTACTAGAAGGTGATTGGTTGTTGATGCTGATAGCACCCCAAACCATGACTTCACATTCACGAGCTGTGTGATGCTTCAAAATGTGGAAGGATCATCCCAATTGCCACATTGCCTCCAGACCTCACTCAGTAATCATCATTGTTGAAACAGAATCTTGATTTGTCATTGAACACTACATTCTGCCAATCATCATATCAGGTAGCTCTGGAGAGATATTACTGCAAGAATTTATGATGATGGTGCAGTTTGAAGAATAGTCTTCACAACAGTTGGCTTAACTGCAAACTTGCCTCACCCAATCTACAAGAAACTGTCTTCATCACTATTGCAGCATGTAAATCTGCCTGTACACTATGCAGAATGAAGCCAGCTGTAAATTGTAGAGCCACTATTGCATGATGCCAAATGCATTTATCTGTGCATTGGGACATTTGTCCCAGTGCTGCAGTCCCACTGTGATGCACATTTCATCCTGAACACATCATCATGAAGTTTTGCTGATCACAGTCTCCAAATTTGACCCATGATTATGGCATCCTGATTATGGCATTGAGTTTCTGTTGCAATACAAAACAAAGACCACATGGTTGTACATAGTCCTATGATGAAATCTTTAGTAAACTCATCTGTTTGATAAAATGGTTCTTGATGGCATCTCAGAGGCATTGTCACTCTAATCCTTATTCAAACAAAAAAAAAATGACACAAAGCAACACAATAATATTTCCAAAGTTAGTTTCACAGATTAGTTTTTCCCTTTTATCACACTCCAAGATTTTGCAATTGGCCTGAAACTGCATCAATCTGCATAATGCTGTGACAAAATCTTCATGGTATGGCATTTTCTCTGTGAGACAGTGTATTTTTATCGTAACATTAATCAATCTAAAATAATAACTTTCAAAATCTGAAATAAATTTTTAAAATATTTTTCAGTCATTTTACATTTCTATAAAGTAAAACATGTATGTGTTTTTTCATATGTGTTTTTACACATATGAAACTACTGTATTTAGTTATACAATTTTTCTATTTATAGAAATATTAATATCAATATACAAAAGGATGAAGCTATTTAGAAACTAAATGATAAACTAGAGAATTTATAACATCTAAACTTAAAATTGACAAATTTTTGAAAGTCATATAACATGATCAAGATATATTTTTTCCAAAATTATTACAAAATCATCAGAAACTCTGATAATTTCACTTCTACATAAGATGTATTCTCTTCATTCTAATGAGACTATCTTCACATTCATCTTCTCTCAAAAGTTAAGGGAGCTTTCCTTAATGAATTGAAGTGAATATACAGCCTGTAAATTGTACACATGTTTGTATACCACTACTTCTAAGTCATCTTGTTTGAATATACTGAGAACTCAATATAATGGCATTCAATACAAGGTTGCAGATTCTTAACTTTACTTAATTCATTAAAGCCTAGCAATACAATAATGTACTGTACCAGTTGACATAAATAGATGTTTCATGATTTGTCATAATATTTTGCAAACTTTTCTGCAAAATTTCTACAGAAATATTATTTTAAGCCTTACTTTACTTTAACTTATGTAATGGCAGCACTCTAATTCTATTTATTTTTGACAGTAAATTAAAGGTTGGAAAAGTGATGATGTTCTTAACATTAATTTTGAACAAAATTTAGATATTTATAAAATCATTACTTTATTATTTAATAATTGCAGTCCAGGACCTAACTAATTCACAACCAATACTTTGAAAAGACAGATAATTTTTAGTTAATTAAACCTTTTTTCATTGAGAAATCCAAGACATATTCTTGATGATACATTTCTGTATCACTAGGCTTCTCCACTACCATGTATATAGTTTCTTGTTTTGTTAGGACAAAATTCAATATTTTCAAACTGAAGTTAACTGCTGTTCATATCTTGGATTATTTTAACCTACTACTAATGATTAAGCCAAATCATGTGCACAATGATTAGGTCAAAATGCATTTGGCCTGTTGGCATCCACTTGTACAATTAGCCAAATCATCAGAAATATATAAAATAAATGTATTACAATTCAAGAAAATCTAGTCTGTTTCTTAAAAATCATTTCTTTAAAAAATATTTTCATTAAAAATAAGTGTTATTTTTGACCTCTATGATAGATATTCATATATTGTCCATATCATGTACTGTTCATGTCTCTCTATATGTCATGTGTATTTGTTATTAAATTATTATAATTATTATTTTTATTTCAGATTGATAGTAACTGAAATACCTTCCTTAATGAAAGGTCATGATCTAAGTTAGGCAAGCTCTATATTGAGCCACCTGATGGGAGCTAATTGTCCAGTATAGATTCTATTGATGAGAATGCTGGCAACAATTTAAAAATATTTTTCCTAGCCACTTGATTGCATCTATAATAATGCATTAAGTTCTAGCTAGATCAAGAAGATCCGGTATACCACAGCTTGAATTCAAGAGACAAATATTTCAAACTTATCTTGTCCTGTTATAGAGCATCACTAAAAAAAGCCTAGATGTTCTCTTGATATTTCAAGATTCATTACAAACAACAGTGTGATCTCTGATTATATTCAGTATAATCAGTTGGATCACTTACAAGGGGAACCTGGAGGTTGTCATCACTGATTTCGACAAAATTTTGTGGATGTGTAGTATTTACTTGTACTTAAACACTACAAAAGCAGCAGGACCCACTATTCAGGTATTCTTGAGAAAATCGTAATTAAAATTTTTATAGAACTGTTAATACTTATGCAAAAGCACCATTCACATGTTTGTGGTGTGGCATGATTAGCTAAGGCATTGCAAGAAGAGCATTAATATGTGGATTCAAATCCCATATGAGATAAGTTTTTTCACATTTATAATTTAATCTTACTCTGGAACCTAGCAGTACATTATGTACCACCCTAAAACTAAAAATTAAAAGCTTAACAATCCTAAAGAGCTGTCAAATTATTGTAAATAGGTGTAATTAACTTGTTAATAAAAAAGTATAAAATTTTTTAAAAATTCCAGCTTTAATAGGTTAATTAATATTATAAATTAATTTTCAAAATAATTTTCAATAAACTAATTTTCCTTTTTACTATGAAGAATTTCTAAATCTAATTACTTTGATACAACAAATATAAATTTTGTAAATTTAAATGTATTGAACATTTATTCTATTCTTTTTTCAGTAGTTCTTTTTGAAGTAATAATTTCTGAGATTATTATTTATGAAAACTTACAAAATTATTTAACTATAATTTTACTTTGATTTTAAGATATTAAAATTAAAATGTAAATATTAAAATGTTTTTTCTTTCTTTATGTTTGCATTTGACTTTCTGCATATTTTGTTTCTATAAAATTATATATTGATATAAATGCCAAATCTTGAAAAAAATGATGTTGATAAAAGAAAAAGATATTTTTATAAAATTATAAACAAAAGTATTTTAGGAAAAAATTTTTTATACAATTTAAAACTGAAATGAAAAAAGAAATTAGCATGTCAAGAGTCATTGGATAAACTGAATATCATAGTAAATTATTTTTTCATTGCTATACATCATTATCATAAAGGAATGAAATAAAAATGTTTTAAGTAAAATAAAGAAACAATAAACAACAAAACATTTCACAGACTCATTCATATTAAATTATTCTGCAAATTGTAAAACCAAAATATCTAAGTAACTCTATTGATCAAAAAGTAACTATATTACTGCATTTCATTCTGCATCAAAATGATAGAGATGNTCTTCAAAAATAAAAATTAAAAAATTAAAATAAAATTTTTGAAAATTCTTTAAAAAAAAAAAAAATGGAGATTTAAACCCAAAACAGCCATAGAATATGCACTCGTAGTTTGTAATATACTGTAACCACTTTATCATCCATTCTTATAAAGATGTTTGTGCTAGTGTATAAAATTCAATAGTTTAAAATTGGTTCCTTCCTTTTTTCCTCATCAAAAATGCTTAGGATTGAGGATTTTTGATTATAACATATAGGATTAATTTCACATAAATATTTCATGCTTAAAATAAAAATTTTAAAAGTCAAATAGTCATTTGGTTGCTTTCCTTATGAGTTTATTGTGATTTATGATAAATTAACTCATAAATTTCTTTGAATAAGTTAATTTATTCACATTTTTA